TCATTGTATTCTTGAAGAAACAATTTTTTTTGGTATCTTGTATCATTATCATTAATATTAAATTATCAAAAAATATATTTACCAACCCACCTCATGGTTTATCACAAGCATTGATGCAAATGATATTTTAAGGATTTTAATAATACTATACATTCAAGCTGTTCCTGAGTCTTTGAAAGGCCTGGAATTAACATTGATTACCACATTAGTTAACTGTCCAATGCTAATAACAATTTGTGTTTACATTAATTTTGAATAAGTAACTACCCCCTGAGACTAGGAATGCATTCCCCAGCTGCCTATAAAGAATCAGTTCTACGCAATATGCCAGCTGTGTAACGAAAAGAAGTTTGATGTTATTATATTAATCATATTACTATATAAGCACTATCATAATTTATATCGAAACATGGAGGAAATAAATTAGTTATTTCCTCCTTGATCGAACATTATGGGCACACATTTGGAAAGGCTAATTGTTAGGGAATCAAGGTAAGCTGAATCTGAGAGTTGAATTAATCACCAGTGTTTGTAATATCATTATAATAACACTTATGCTACCTGGTTAAACAAATCAATGCCAGGTTTCCATAGATGATGCAGGCCTAGCTTTCCAAGGTCCATGATGTAAGTCATACCTTCAACATGCTTACCAATCTGTATATAAAAAATAATAATAGATTATACACAAATATTGATTTTATTTTCAGGAAGCAATAAGACAGCATTAGAAGATGGGTCTTTTATAATAGGTAAATAATATACAAAACCTACACACTACTTAATAATAATTTATTATATAAAATATTTATAGTAGCAGCAGTGGTAATATGAGACTTGCGATCCCAAATATGGCATACTGTTGCAAAATGTTATACTTAGTAAATTAGCATACAAATATGGCAGTATTGTATAATTTAGTACAGTACAAAGAAGCCATAATAGCTTTACACACAATGGCAGTCGATTCCAATGAATGACCAATCATTTTATAGCTTATAAAGGTGGTGAATAAGTATATTAAAAAGTTAATTTAAATTTGTTGGTCACTAATGCTGGCTTTGGGATGGCAAGCCTTATATAATAGCAAAAGCAATCAACCACCGCTAATGTCAGCTGCTACATTATGTGTGAAAATATGATGGACTTGCATCCTTAATGGCAGACACACGCCGCGTTGTATGACCTTTGGCCAACGAATCCAACTCCACTCTGATTGTCGGTGGCATTCTAAACTGATTGTCATCAAAATTTTTTTTTTTGTATGCGCGTAGTGGAGTAGAAGCGTGTCAGCTGACAACCGTTGTACGCAGTGACTGTGCCCGGCTGAAGTCAACACCACACAACAATAAGGCCATTAAAAAAAAATTCTTGTGTTGGCCACGTTTTGGAAAAATCCAATAAATGGGTAGGTTGGTAGGAAGAGTTTTTTTGTAATATTTTTTTTTTAGCAAAAATTGTTTATGCCTAAAAAGTAGAAAATACACAAAAATACAACATTGACCATTTTAAAATCTATATTGGAGAGCAAATCGCATCCTCTAACGTCGCAAGATATGCCTATTCCAGCCCTTTTAGCTCATTAACAAAATATTTTTGACGTAAAAAAAAAATAAATAAAATGCCGACTCTCAATTTCTAACACTTGGGTCAGTCGGGCGTGGCCAACACAATAATTTTTTTTATTTGGCCTAAGTCAACATCACACAACAACTGGGCATGGAACAGATCAAATCTAAACTAACAATTTACAATTTTTCATGTTATGAATCGTAACTTTTGACAGTCTAATTTAGGTTATGACTCAACTTTTGATTATTTGTATATAAAATACATATATATGACTCGTATCTCTCAACCATGTAGTTCTTGTTATGATTCATTACATTCGTTACTGCAATCCACATTGTACACAAACTACAAAAATTTGAAAACTCAAGGAAGTAGTGCGGACTGTATATAGAAAGAGGCCATGGTGCAAAAAACGCATTTTATGAAGATATAACGGTCATTTTCTAAAGCTTTGTCTACATTATCAGATTTTCCTTGACAAAATACTACTGTAAGCCCATACTGTCGTGATATGCATATATGTAGTCACCATGTGATGCCATCATGACCATACTTAGACATGCCGCATTTTTTGTCAAATTAAATGATAAGTGGACAGGCCTCAAGTAAGCTGCCCTGAGAGTGTCAATTTTCGAGCAATAAGAGGTCAAATAACATATTTTATATTATTTTAACAGTGTGGCACATGTGTGAATGATGGACCACCTGCCGGGAAAAAGCATCACACTGTTCTTGTGTAGGTGCCAAGTATTACTTATTGCCATCGTTGTACATAGATGTTTGCAATGCATCAGCTGGGGATGATGCCAATCCTTAAATGTTTGTTTTGACATGCATAATACTTCCATGGTTGTGACTAGAGTTATACCTTATATATCTCTGTGGTTTGTATATTTTATCTACTGTACCTGCTGCATACAATATTTCAATTTACGTAGTCCTCTCTTGAAATATAGTCCTTTGAAGAATTTTGAAAAAAAAAGTTACCTTTTTTGATTGTTCTTCCATGTCCTTGTACAGCTTTTCTAAAATGTAGACATTGAACCGTAAAAGATCGCTGGCTTTGCATGAGTACACAAGACCTAGTTAATAAAATTGGAAAACATAATAATAAATATTCATATTATCATATTACAATCATAAAAATAATATGATTAATGCACAGATCGTATTTGGGTATTAAGGTTGCAAACTTTATTTAATTAGAGGGGAGAGAGGGAATGGGAGAAGGGGATGGATACATCTTGGGTAAAATCAGTGGTGGATTCAAGGGGCCCAAGCCATCCTGCCCCACCACCCTTCCCCACTAAATTTTTGACAATTTAAAAAATTGGAGAGAAAAAAGAAAAAACTATGTTAAAACTAAGTCTGAGAGTGCCATTTCCAGCCATCTACAGGTACCATAACCAAAACCATGGTGGGGCTGAGGACATATGGATTCTAGATCCGCAAAAGTCCCTCACAGGCCTCCTCTACTTGGAACTGCTAGATTGGGCAATGTAAAGTGTCTTGCTCAAGGACACGTCATGCATATAATTAAAAACACAAAACAAAAATTAAAAGCTTTACTGCAAGTATGTATGCCAATGATAAAATGCTGGATGATTTATTAATTATATATAGTCAGGATCGTAGCTACACACATTATTATTGTATGTATGAATATCAACCAATCAAACAACAGAAAGTTCTGGATGTTTACACACTCACTCAGTCGGCATAGTAATAACAGAATGATTACAGCCTGAAGACAGATATAATTCTGCATACAAACCACATTGATATTGGCAGTAAAATGTATTAAAATGTGAAGGGCTATTTAACCTTTGACATCTATTTCCCCAACTGGGAAGATCCAGACGGGTGCTCCCTCCTTATCATACCCAGGACTACCACCAACATAATGCTTGGCAATAACCTGAGGAGAAAATGAAAAGAAAAGAAAGGAGTAATATCTTATAAGAAGAATTTTTGGTATCAAATCTTATAATGGTAAGGAGGCCTCATAATTTTATTTGATATTCACTAAATAATTCATTTTTTCAAATCTATGAATTGTACTTTATGTTAGCTATTTGGTTTATGAACTTTGCTCGATGCAAAGACAGTTGGCCCTTCAACTTGAGACCCGGTCTTTGGACAAAAAAAATGGGGTGGTCTCGGAGTTCAGTTTCTAGATTGAGTGTTAGAATTGAAAACTGTTATTTAGTTCTTTAAAAAAGTGGTCTTGAATTAGAGGGGTCTCAAATTGGAGGGTGCACTGTATATTCTTTTTTTTTTTTTACAAAAAATGTTAACAACAATTTAAAAACATGTTTAAAAAATTGAGAACATTCTTTTTATGAGATCTCATGGTAAAATGCAATATTTTTCAGATCTTGTCTGACCATTCGATGGATTGAATTGTGCTGTCTTGTTTTGACAATAAAATAAAGAATAAAGAATAATGTATTTTTACTTCTAATCACTTATTTATTTTTAAATTTCTTAGTTGATTATTAATCAAAATGTACATAATAATAAAAATACAATTTTACATATAAATAAAAATTTTTTTTTGCCAAGATTTGCCTTATACATAATTTGCATAAAATTTGTTCATAGAGTTCAATATGATACAGAGTTAATCAAATTGGATGTGGATACACCAGGAAATTAACACTGTACAGTAGATCTAAATGAAAGTATACCAATTATTTATTACTGTTAATTATAGTTTCAGGAGCTTATATTCGAGTTTAGATTAGAATTTAATATCAACAATCAAAAAAACCACTGCATGAGAAGATTAATTATACTTAATATTTCTTTCAACACAAACCTCTGGTACTGTGTAGTCATCCACGATGGTATCTGTTTTTGTCACCGATCGCCATTCAACATCCTATTGAAAAAAATGATAAAATGTTACATGGAAAGAGGAAGGGAGAAAAGGGGACGGACAAATTATGATACAATACGAACTAAAATGTCTTTTCTGCATTGTTCACGCTATAAAATGGTATGTGACAAATAAATGTGATATGCCCATATTTGGATGTACAGTAAATGGCATTATTTTTCACATACAATTTAATAGTGTGAACACACCTTCAAGTTTATTAATGAATTTAAATTTGTCTACACTTTCAATTTTTATGTGACAAATAAATGTGATATGCTATTTGGATGTACTATAATATGACATTATTTTTCACATGAATTTGATAGTGTGGACACATCTAAGACATCTTCATATTTATTAGTGAATTTAACTTTGTCCACACTTTCGAATTTTATGTGACAAATAAATGTGATATGCCTATATTTGGATGTAATACGACATACAGTATCTTCGAGTTTCACATCAAACAAGGTTACACTATAGTGGTTTCATTCGCCAGGTTTTTAATTAAACAGAATACAGTATATAACTGTAGTACCAGAGAACATTAAATATTAATGAACCAAATGAATGAGGCATGATGGGATTCTTGGACCAAATCATGGATATTCGTTGTAAGAAGAGCAACATAAAATTTATCCTATCTATTAAATTCTGGATGAAAAGGTTAATAAGAATCACATGGCCTGTTAAATCCTAGATGGAATTGAATGTTAAAACATATACACTGCAGCATCCTAGCAATATGATCACACCAGGGGCGGATCCAAAGATATCCGAAGGGGGAGGGGAATCGAGAAACAACATTACCCTAGGGGGTTGTGGCTCTAGAAAATATCTGTTTTTGAGATACCAACCTGGAAATAACGTCTGAGGGTTTTGAGCAATCAATAATTTCTTTTTCTTTTTTTTTCTTGTTTTTTTTGTTTACTTTCCAAAAAGGGGCTCAGTCCCTCTAAATCCGCCCCTGCGCACACTTTTAATACTTTAAACTAGGCATTACGCTGAAGAGAGCAGGCAAGATGTGTATAAGAGACAGGTTGTACATAGATGTTTGCAATGCATCAACATTTTATTCACAAATTTGGGCTGCCCATAAGCAGCCCAAACCAACAGCCCTTTAGTCAAAAGCCTATTCAGACTTCAAAGTTCATTGGTTATATAAAAACAGCAGCCCTAATTTTCTTTGCTTCACTACAGCGCTATCGTAATTACTACCACAATGAAGCATATCTCTAATGGAGTATCTAATGTACTGTACTTTATCACCATTTATCATCAGTGATGATGTTTGTAAAAGCTAATATCTTTACACAAGGTTAATTTTTGGAATAATATTTGTCCTCTAGAACCAATTCACTCCATTTTATTTGCACGATCGCATTCATTATTAACATGAATAAGTATAGTGGTAATAAAAACACATAATAACATGCAGTTCAAATGTGTATGAAATACTGTATTCTATTTCAAACAACATGAGTCCATTAGCATACAAAAAAAATGTAAAGAATAAATATAAAGATCATCAAAACATTTGTAGACTATGTAGACTCTAATACAATAGCTCTTTCTATTTCTTATATAAAAATAAATAAGCATTTGAAAAAAAGGAGGTATAATTTTAACTGAGAAACTGTAAAAATACTTTGGAATCTGATCATTTCACTGGCACTGGCATCCCCTCTAAATCCGCCCCTGCTATTATTACATTGTCTCTCAAAGCTCATAGTAACTTGCTTCTCCATTAAGTGTCTCTTTGTATCTGAGCTGGCTGGTAAACCGGTGCCAGCTACTCTCGTCTGTCCACAACAAGGGCTGTATAGTCACCAGTAGTCTTCCTGTCGTCTCTAAATTTGTATTGCAGTCCTTAAAATGTCTGCAGTGGGCCAATAGTTTAGGCAAGACATTTTTTACACCTTGCTTCAAGAAGTTATTTTTTTAAAGACTATCAGAGGAGGGTGGAATAAAAATCAAAATAAAATTTTTATTTCTTATTTAACAAAATTTGCCAAAATCATCCAGATGGAGGAGACAATAAAAATATAATTGTATTGGTGAATGTAAACAGTATAGTAATGGGATGGCTAAATGCTTTAAATTTATATAAATAGGAAGAAATACTTCAATGCAGTGATAGGCATAATAAAATCAAAGAAAAACCTTGATTTTTTGCTGAAATTTCCATTTTTTTTTGTGGCGGTGTGTGGTTAATTGGCCAAAAATAAAATGTTATTTTTATTCGAAACCATCAATATTGGCAGGCAGCGGGTTCGCTAAAAGATGTATAAAAAAGTTTCTCAATATAGTCCTTATCCATGAAGACTTGTTCTACCACGAAGCAAGCATTATGCTGCTTGAACCGGCAGAGGGTTGCGCGGTCCCTGCCTCAACCGCTTAGCCATTTGACTCGTTCAAAACTTCACGTGTAGAAATTGTCTTCAAGAGGTTATTTCAAGACCAGATTTATCGTGATAAAACTGGCTAGTTTAAACTAGCTGCTTATGACTCTTATAACAACTACCATTTTACATTTGAAAATTTTGGAATGGGCTGGATTCTTCAATACCACTTGAATTATTTTATATAATTAATTTATATAATTTTAATTCAACAGTTAAAAATGAGATAGTTTGAATATAATATAAAAACTAAAACATGCAAATATCTCACAAACCTTGCGAAACATTTTCTCTGTTGCTTTCAAGTCGAAATTTCTTGCTAAAAGGAATAAGAAAAAAATTTATATTTAGTATTAATTAGCAGATTTGTAATGGGGAGAACACCTCCACACTATCAAATTTGAATATTTGATTTGTCTATATATGGCTTGATGATGTCATATAATTTTCTCTTATTTGAAATCAAAGGCATTTGCCATACAACTTTTTGGTGTGAAAAGAGCTAAAATGTCAGCTGTGCCATTAACACTGCCAAAATGCATACAAGTCAAAAACTGAATATTTTACAAATAAATTCATTGTATCATAAAAATAATTGAGTATAATATCAATAATTTTACGTATTTTTCAAGGAATATTAAGTCTTTAAACATGGCTGTGACTAATATTCTGTGTTCACCTTTGATTATTTAAGTTCATAAGATAGCCATGTCTATACAATCATCAAGAACATGCTGATATACAGTAGTTAAATGCCTTTTTATCAATAGACTTTGTATCCCTGGACCCAAATTAAATATAATGGATTGTAGCCTAGCATATGTTTAATGGATTTCTATATTACCAGTATTTATAAACCATAGTTAATCTATTGTAATGTATTTTTTTTCATATGCCTTATTCTTTGTTTTGCATATTTTGTCTAAATGTACATAATGAGTGAATAACAATTATAGCACGATAAATGCCAATTTAAAAATAACTGACCCAGGTTGCTAAATGTCATAAAAGAGCAAAAAATTATGAAAGTTTAATGATATTTAATAATGAATAAATTAATAAAGGTTCATATATGGATGTGATACATCATCTTCATGTCCATATATGGGTAAAGCACGGTCACCAAGAGGAATTCAAGATCAGACTAACTGTATCTCACCTCGTAGAAACCGCAACAATGTGCTGTCATCATGTTTTGATGTCATCACATCTTGAATGTTCTGTTTAAGCTGAAATAGAAGATTTTTTTTTAATATCATCATTTCAATTTAATTGAAATTTCTCTTTATCGCAATCACATATTAAAAATACAGATTGAATTTACAAAAACATACTATAAGATTCAGTCATATAAAATATACATTAAAATTCAAATTCAATATTCAAAATTCAAAAAAGTCATTCATTTTATCATTGGTAATGGTAATGGTAATGGTTGGAGACTTATATAGTGCAAAGTACATGGTCTCTATGTGCAAAACAAGGAAAAACAAGAAAAAACAAAGCTATCCTAGGCTACACAGAAACTAAAAGTCAGAAGAGACAGACTACTGGCAATTAAGCAGCAGTTGGCAAGATCACAACTCACAGATGCTCTACTAAAATAGCCTATCAAAAATATGAAAAAACAAAATAAAAAATTACAAGGTTTGAAAAAGGTGTGTTTTAAGTCTTAGTTTAAATACCGCAAGGGAGGTTGATTCACGAATGGTACTGGGAAGTGCGTTCCAAAGTTTAGGAGCTGCAACCCGGCAACACCTCTCTCCATATTTAGTGCAGCTCCAAGAGGGTGAAAGTGTTGTAGAGCTTGACGTAGATCTAAGTGTTCTACTGCATGATGTTGACTGGAGCTGAATGAGTTCCTTAAGGTAAAATGGGGAGGAATTATGAAGCGTTTTGAAAGTAAAGACAAGAATTTTAAATGCAATACGCTGTCGTACTGGAAGCCAGTGCAGTGATCTGAGTATAGGGGTAATGTGATGTCTTTTAGGAATTTATTTGATAAGGCGAGCTGCAGAATTTAATTGGTGTTGTATTTTCTTGATCATCGAGTTTGGTAATCCACAAAGGAATCCATTACAGTAATCAATTCGGGATGTAACCAAAGCATGTACAAGCTTGGATGCAGCATCTTCATTTAAGAAATGTCTAATGTGCCTGATGTTTCTGATATGATAAGAGGCAGATTTGCAGATGTACTTAACATGTTTTTTGGAAGAATAAAAAATGACTCCAATGTTCCGAGCAGTAGTGGAAGAGAAGATGGTGGTGTTACCAACACTAATACTAACATCAGTCGGCAAGTTTTTACGATAGTGCGAGTGGAAAAATAGTGCTTCTGTCTTTACTAGGGTTGAAACAGAGCTTATTTGATGCTAACCATGACTGAACATCTACTAGACATGCTTCTATAGACTTCACTGCTTCATCAAATAACTGAGGTTTAAATGATATATAAAGTTGGATGTCATCAGCATATATATGGTATTTGCATGCATGTTTGGAGATTACTTGAAAGTGGACGAACGTAGGTAAGGAAAAGTATTGGTCCTAAAGTGGAACCTTGAGGTACACCACAATAGAGATTTTCAGGGAGATACCGAAGTAGAAACACGAACTGATTGTTTTCTAGATGTTAGATAGGAGCAAAACCATTCAAGCACTTTTCCTGAGAAGCCAATTTCGTCAAGTCTATTGATGAGAATTGTATGGTCGATGGTGTCAAATGCAGCTGATAGATCTAAGTATACTGCAAGAACACAGAGTCCATTGTCTAGAGCATACATAACATCATCATTGATCTTTAGAATTGTTATTTCTGTACTGTGAAACTTGCGGTATGCTGACTGGTATGGATCAAATAGGTTGTTGCATGCAAGATGTTTCACTGAAGCCACAGCAACAACTTTCTCAATAACCTTTGAAATAAATGGGATATTCGTTATAGGTCGATAATTGGATAAGACATTTGGATCCAGAGTAGGTTTCTTCATAAAAGTTGGTGTGACCAAACCAAATTTTAGAACATCTGGAAAACAACCAGAGGAAAGAGATGAGTTTATGATGGACCTTACAACAGGAATAAACAAGCGAAGGCGCCACATTCATTAACCTGCTCCTGTATGTAGTTGGTTCTGGCTTCATCAAGTATTTTGTTGTATTTAGAACATTGACTTTTGTATTTTATGAGATCATTTTGGCCTTTCGATTTGTACCATCTACGCTCAGCAGATCGTCTCTTTCGTTTGGCTTCTCTGCATGCATCATTAAACCATTCAGAAGATGTTCGAGCTGACAGTTTTAGTTTTTAATGGAGCCACCTCATCTCTTATGGAATTCAGAGTAGAATTGTACTCAGCCATCGCTGCATCTATGTGATACTATGACACCTAAGTGATACTATGACACCTAAGCATCATTAAAAAAAATAGACCCCAAAAAATAAACCGCTTAGTGGCCGCCATCTTGAAATTAAAAATGGGCGCCAAAATAGTGGATTTTTATCAATAATCTTCATATCTACAGCACCTAGCACTGTCATTCAAAGGTCTTTACCTATGTTTTCAATATCAGGGAGTATTATGCAATCATCAAAAATTATGTCAGATGGCCACCGTATTTGATTTAAAGATGGCTGCCAAAATATTGTTATTTTTTTCATTATCTTCATATCTACAGTAACGTAACACAGTCATATTGGATTTCAAGATGGCTACCAATGAAAGTTCCTTTTTTAGTTGGTGTCGTATCAGTAGGTCATATCAGTACACCACATAGTCCTATACGATAAAGGGGCATATCTCACTCCCAGATACTTCTCTCATACGACAGACTTATTATATGTGTATATATATGTGTGTGTGTATATATATATATATATATATATATATATATATAAATTTAATGGCAAATGGGATAAACCCATAAAAACAACGAGCAGCCACATAAATGCAAATAATGATAATATAAAGTTTAAACAGAACAGTAGAGAAAATCCGATCAAGAATGACAAAACAAACTAAATGTCCACTGGAAAAAATCCCAATATCTGTGTGTGTGTGTGTTTTTGATCTACTTGTTTATATATGATGAAAAAACGCTTGACAGTCGAATACAAAATGTTTTATTCGTGTATATATATATATATCACAGGTGGGCAAAGTGCGGCCCGCAAAAATGAATAAAAAACCCTATGTGTGCGGCCCGCCAAGCAACATTGGCTAGAAAACATCTTATTTTTTACAACCAGACGCCGATTATGTAAAAAAGTAACATTAAACTGAGAATAAAGTGGTGTAAAAGCAGTGCTTTAAGGATTTTGGAAGCTCAATGGAAACATCAAAGTTTGGGTGCAGCCCTCGTGTTAAATCCAAAATTCACTTTGTCCCTCCAGCCGATTTTTATGCCCACCCCTGATATATATCTGTCTCTTATACACATCTTAAGCGAAGCTGTAAGAAAGACCAGACCTCATTCTCGCCGCAGATGTAAGCACTTCATACTAAAAATAGTATACCACCAAACACTGAACGCTATTGTTT